AGGGGAGACGGAGCATTTTGTCGAGGACATCCTTGACTCTAAACCCAAGAAGGGACGACCGGAGGAAGTGGAATACCTCGTAAAATGGGAGGGGTATAATGACGAGTTCAACTCTTGGGTAGGATGTGAAGGTATGGTGGGCTCGATCGAGCTCCTACGTAGCTGGCACAAACACCACCCGAGGAAATGCCAGCCATCGCGTCTGCAATGGGCTTCGTTGGAACGGGAAGCACGGGAAGATGAGGAGGAGGGACCGGGAAGGTAGAAGGGAGTAGAGGGGGGAACGAGAACAATGAAGACACAACGGGGACGACAACCCCATATTCACGACTATCTAACGACAACTTGCATTGGAGGGCTCACGAGACCTGAATGCACGACGATTTCACTCTTATTGATTTTTCACACAAGTACAAAGAATGTTCCCATTAATTAACGAAGAAAGTCAAAACAAACAAGAAGAAAGCAACAATTTTAAGGTAGAAAACAAATACAAAAAAGGATGGTTCGACAAGAACACTACAGGAAGAGGGGGAGACACTACAACGATTCCTCCTTAACGATACCCTGATCCGGCGCCAGGTCGACAACTTCCCCAACTTCCCCCGTCATAGAAACCCGAGCCACACGAGACTCCTCCGTTTCGTACAACTCATCATCGTCGCCAGTAAGGTCGATGGCTAGGTTGACGACGGATCCAAAGGGAGGGGGCAGAGTGGGGGAAGGAGGAGGAGGAGACGGGGAGGTCGGAGACTCCTGTTCAGGCAAAAACAGAGGGGGCGCCTCAGGAAGCTGCTCGACAGTTCCTTCGGCCAATGACTCAGTACCGGGCTCCACCGACGACATGGGAACTTGGGTATCCGTGCCAGACAAGGGAACGTCCGTGATGTGATGAATGTAGCGCAACATCAACTGCTCCCAATCCGCAGTCAGCTGGTCGACACTGGGAAGGGCAGGAACGAGATCATTCCACCTCCCAACGCCGTCGCTATGAGGGAGAGCTGTGGACAGTGCCAACATTTGCCTGTGAAGAGGAGGTTCAAGGGAGTTATCGGGGGGAGGGGCAAAACCCGCATGCTGAGCAGCCGTCAGGAAGGGACCGTCGTTGTCGAATCGGGAGTGTTCCAATACCAGGCGATAGAGACCCTCGTCCTCGTCCACAGCGTTGTTGAAGAACCATTGGATGCTGCTAATGGACCAGACATAGAGATCCCCATGGACACCCCGAGCCGCCTGCATGTAATCCAACGCCAAATGTAAGTTGTGGGTAGCAATGTCAGGGTCTTCAGACTCCAGTCCACGACGGAGGAAGGCGACCACAGCTTCGATAATCGCCCCAATATAACGGTGGTGGTGGTGAAGGACAGTCGCGGGGTCGGAACAATGAAGGCGGTGAGCAAGAGTAGCAACACGGCGGAGGTCCTCGCGAGCCTTGTTAAGATCTCCTTCGAGCTGCGAAAGGGGGGGCAGGACAACTTCGTAATAACCCTCATCAGGGTACTCTTTGACCATTTGCTCAACAAAAGCGGCACGATTGCCGGCACGATGGACCTCCTCTTGCAATTCTTCCACCAGGCGATGTTGACATGTTGCTAAAGCATTAGACTCGTCAACACGACCTTGTTGGTACAACAAGGTGGTCGTCAGCTGCGAACTCTTGCGAGTGGAGGAGGACAACTTCTCCACAGCAACCTTGCGCTCCCTAACAGCATCTCGAAGGTCCTCTTCCATCTTTCGGAAACACTCCAAAATACTCTGAGGAGAAGAAATCAATCATGGCTTAAAAGAGAAAGAAAAACTAAGTACTCACTTGACCAGGGGTCCCCGGTAAGGCTCCATCCAAAGCGACAAACTGATCCAACACGCGTCGGTACTCCGTTTCGTGCTCTAGGACCTCATGGCGAGAAGACCGCAACTGCTCTACTTCTCGCTGTCGAGATTCGAGAGCATGGGAGGTATCCCGCAGGGCAGAGGTGAGGGAGGAATTCTCCCGCTGAGAATCAGCCAGCTGAGACTCCAGCAACCGAACGCGAGCCGCGAGACGTTGATTTTCAGCACGGTAGGGATGAGCAGCAAGAGCGCGAGGAACCAGGGTGGGACGAGAAGCAGGAGGCATATTGGAGGAAAGGAGGTCCGGTCCTGCACCCTTTATAGAGGGGGGAACAACGGGTCGCTGAACCAAACCAGACTGAGCTTCAGCAACAGCCGCCAATCGAACCAAATTGCTGTGACCCTGCACTGGCAGGTCCCCGCCGGATACCTCCATTAAGGAAGGAGAGGTGCGAGGGGGAAGTGGAGTGGAAGTGGAAGCTGCCACCGACCGACCGGGAGGAACCACCAGTCGGACATGAAGGGGAGCCTCTTGAACTACCTCCTCCTCAGGGGACCTACGACGGGAACACTTCTTGGAGGCGTCCTGCCGAACCCTTTTGACGGAAGGACCCGCCATAGGCATTGGAGAACGGTCGCGCTTACGTTTGGCAGCGACTACTGCCTCACCCTGTTGCAAGGCGAGGAACTCCTGCAACTCTTGCTGATCAGCATCAGCAGCATCCTGTTCGTCAAGCATGTTCAATTCGAGGAGGGTGGAGGTTGAAGAGGTGCGAGCATGAAGGGCAATGTCGTACTGACGCCAGACGCTCAGAGGAATACCCCACGTTGATTTATGTGCAGGAGTTCCGTGGAGCTCCAAAAACCTACGACTATATGCAAGATCCTGGTTGCAGCGACGAGCAAAGTACCGATACCGAAGGATCTTCCCCAGGCTACAAGTCTTCTTCGCAGAACAGCTTGTACATCGAGGGGAGTTCGGTAGAACCTTGCATTTACCTGGGGATTTCGAACAGTTAGAGCAAGGGGAAGCTACCTCGGCCAAAAGAGGCCACAAAGAATCATCTTGACAGTAACTCGACAGTGGCTTGCCAGTATTAAAGACTGTCTCGAACAATTGAAGTTGTGGCCGAGACAGGAACTCGATAGTAAAAGCTAGTTGGTCCTGCTCAACCTCCCCATCGGAGTCAGGACCCGGGGAAGGTACTTCCCCCAAAGTGGTAAGGAGGGGCAAATGAGGAGATCGAGTGCGCGATCTGGAACACCGATTAGGAGTAGACATCGCAGTTGAAGGAGTTTTGACTCATAAAACTGAGGTGGGGGAAGAAGGGAAAAGAAAGCAGGTATCTGACGGACTTCAAACAAGAAAATTTTCGGGTACCACGTGAATGTCAGGTGACTTTCCAAGAAACGCGAAAACCCATCGCGAGGGCGTGAAGGGGTTACAAGGGGGGGTAATGTCATGCCCTGACCATAACCAGACCAGCCCCAGCATCAGCCCACACGTTCTCATATTCCCGACTCTCCTTGCACTCCCCAGGACATCCCTGAGGCAGTACGCACCTCCCCAAGACAGTACCACCACCCCCTGAAAACGTCCGGACAACCATTCCGACACGCGTATGAAGCCCTCCGACACCAGCCCCATTAAGTACCAATCTCGATTGCCTGTCTCTCTCGATTATCTGCCTCATGCTCCCTAGGTTCTGATGTTCCCTTGTTCACTTCCCGTACCTATTTAAGTAGCTCCGCGACGTCCCCAAGCGCCAGCTTGGTATATTTTGAACACACACCCTTTACATAGGTCCAGTCCCTGTCCCTTTGTACCTGCTAACTATACGGAATTCTCTTTACTCTCTGTTTCATTACCTCTGTTTCTCTCAACTCTTGTCTATCGTCTCTGTGATCGTCTATACGACCCAATACACGCTTTTACTTTACGTCTAAGCAATCTGAGTGAGTTCCCGAGCTCCCTCGAACAATACTAAAGCTCCCCAACGCCTACCGCCTTGGTGAGCTAACCTCCCCAAACCTCCTCGAGCTCCCTAGCTATTCTATAGGCTTGAGGACCTCAATCTAGGTAACGTCGAAGCTACCCCTCACGTCGAACTACGTACTGCTTCTCCGTTACCACCTCCCACACTCGAGGACGTCCATCCTCAAGCCTAGCCCCCAGGGACCTACCCTCCCTGGCACATCCCTTCTCGGGAGCTTACCACCTCGAGACCCATCTATACATACGACCTACTCGATCCTATATTGACGTTCTAGCGAGTACAACTCCTACTACGCAATATAGTACGGTCCTGCACTCTTCCTTAACCTCCCTGCGCCTTAGGGACCTCCCTGGACCTCCTAGGAATCCCTCAAGGGTCACCATCCCATCGTTCCAGCCACTACTAGGTCATTCCCGTCCTCGGTCGCGGTTCCCGTAGCTCCCTTCGAGCTCCAGCCTGCTCCTAGCACGCTACAACATAAACCTCCACATACCAAAACCTACCCTAAGACCTATTTTGACCCAGGTCTTACACGCTCGGTATACCGAAGATCCACCTTTTATTGTAATCTTACTCTTATTGTTCTTTCTCGCTACACATACCCTTTCATTCTAGTTCCTCCTTATTGTCTTTTACTTTACCCTGCAGGTACTACTCGTATAGCTCCTAGTAGTTAGTCTAGTGCTCTGCACCGATGCGCCAATCCGTAGATATAAATACTGCCTGTACGCTACTGTAGTTCCTCAGTTTAATTATCGACTTAGATTCCCTCCTTAACTCTGTGCTCCTCTAAGTCTTCAGGCTCAACGCCTTGAAGTATGTTCTACACTACCTTAGGACTTAGACGTTCCTCTGGTTTGCTCCTCATCACCAGCAATACCGCCGCTCCGACTTGGCTGCTCCTCAGTTTCTCCCTTCTATACTCTCGATCTCCGGGGACTAACGGTGTAGTGGCGGTGTTGTTAATAACTTCACTACTATCCCACTCGACCTCCCGCACTTAGACACCTTGTGGCCTCTGACACGGTTACACGGTGTACATGATCTTAACAACCGTCGCTTACCCATGGATCCACATTGGCAAAAGCAAGTAGTTGGTTTTGGTAATGGATATAATGTCGCCAGTGTAATAATTTTGGAAATTGAGATGGAGGAGGTTTATATGGAAGTTTCATGGCTTTGATGTTGTGGGTGGCAATCTATGTCAAATTCATTGTCGATTTGCTCACCTGGGTTAACAACACATTTGGTTGGGATTTCAAAGGAAATTTGGCATATTACGCACCTTATGCTGAGTTCTACCCTTCACAACAAACCAGATTACTGGAATTTTGGGATAAAATTGGTTTGCCTCATGATAAACCAAAGCAAACATGGGGCACCCAACTTGTGATTCTAGGTTTCAATGTGGATCCAAATGCCATGACCATCACCATGCCTACAGAAGCTTGATTAGACCTTGTTCAGGCAATTTGAAAATTTGCAGGAATTGGAAATCATTGGACACTGAAGGAATATCAGCACCTTGCTGGCTGGATTAACTGGTCACTGAATGGTCCCGGCCTTTCTGTGTTATATGAGAAAATGGCTGGAAAGACTGAATCTGGTCAGTGAATCTGGACAAACAAGGCTGTAGTGCGAGAGTCGCTATGGTTCATTAAAAAGGTTGATGTTTTAAGTGGAGTGAGAATGCTCGATAGTGAAGAATGGGGATTTGAAGAAGCGGACATTGTCCTGTACTGCGATGCATGTCCAACGGGCATGGGATTTTGGTTTCATTATGATGACAAGACATTGGGTTATCAGTGTATGATTCCAGATGATCACGAGAAGCCTATTTTCTATTTTGAAGTACTCACGGTTGTTTCAGCCATCCTCCACACTATCAAATTGCTTTTTGTTCATGGTGTTTTTGTTTTTACTGACACCACTAACACGGTGGATATGTTTCATTCTCTAAAAGCAAAACAGCTCTACAACCCCCTCTTACTCACCATGGTGGATCATGCTATATGCTCAAACATCCAGTTCCGTGTTGCCCATATCTGTGGGGAGGAAAATGGTATTGCAGATGCTCTGTCATGGTTTGACTACACTCGTCTCATGCGTTTGGCACCGTCAATGAATATTTATAACTTTACACCCCCACACTCATGTTGGGGGCAGAACAGTTATGAATTTACCGCCTCCCTCCTCCAGACAGCCGGTTCGTGAAGTCTGGAGTTCGGAACGTTTGCTGCATGAGCGTAACATTGTGCTTGGCAGCGTCCTCGAGCCATCATCTCTGTCCTCTTACACATCAGCAGTTCAATCCTACGTGACTTTCTGTCGCAACCATGATTTTCCAATCCACCCAACTGCAGACACCCTATCTTTTTACATTGTCTATATCTGCCATTTTACCAAACCAAAATCTGTCTCGAGCTATCTATCCGGAATTTGCAACCAGCTCGAGGTTTTCTACCCTGATATTTGTCAAAATTGTGCTCATCCAATTGTGAAGCGAACATTGAAAGGATGCAAAAAACTTCACACTTCCATTGCCTTGAGAAAACGTCCACTCCAGCGCAGTGAACTCACTGAAGCATTCAATAACCTACATTCATCCTCCACTTTCGACAATCAGCTTTTTCTTGCATTGTTATACATTGGTTTTTTTGCTCTCATGTGATTGGGAGAGTTAGTGTTTCCCAATCGGATTGACCTTCAAGATTTCCACAAAGTCATCATGCAGGATTCATTTCTTGCAGATGCTGAGCATCTCGAGTTCAATCTACCAACGCATAAAGCTGATCAAACGTTTGAAGGAAACCGAATCGTAGTCGAAGCCTCTTTGGATAGAGATGACACTGTCAAAATTGTTTGTATTTAGGTTTGTGAACGTGACAGCCGCTTCCCAGGACTATCGCATTTATGGGTACACTTTGATGGGTCAGTTCCAACCCGGTCTTGGTTCATCCAAAGGCTACAATGTTATTTCTCTGATAATGTGGCAGGTCACTCTCTTCGTTCTGGGGGAGCAACATGGCTAGCATCTTTAGGTGTCCAGGTGAATCTCATCCAGGCCATTGGGTGATGGGCATCTGAATCTTTCAAGATTTACATCAGGACCCACCCTGTTTTACTCACTGCCCTACTTTTCTCTCAACAATTGGCCACATCTTGATCACTCACTCCTCCTCAACATCTACAACCTCTTGTAATCATCATTTTTTAGCCTTTTACCCATACCGTTGCACATAAAATCTAGTTTGTTCTACAGGGTACAGCCGCTGTCCCTCAGGACTGTACCCGTGTCTACCTAAACCTTGCTCAAATTGTTTAAAGCAATGAAAATGACACCTTCGTTGATTAGTAACATACAAGTAATCAAGACCAAAAAATTATATATAATCTGCTGTAAGACCTGGGTCAGAATAGGTCTTAGGGTAGGTTTTGGTATAAGGAGTTTATGTTGTAGCGTGCTAGGAGCAGGCTGGAGCTCGAAGGGAGCTACGGAAACCGCGACTGAGGACAGGAATGACCTAGTAATGGCTGGGATAGGGAGATGTGACCCTTGAAGGGGTTCCTGTAAGGTCCAGGGAGGTCCCTAAGGTGTACGTAGGGGAGGTAGAGGTACAGAACCTAGTAGCGTTGCGTAGAAGGAGTTGTACTCGCTAGAACGTCAAGGTAAGATCGAATAGGTCGGAGAGAGAATGGGTATTGAGTGTATAAGCTCCTGAGAAGATATATGCCCGGGAACTGGGGGTTGGAGGTGGACATCCTCGACTGTTGGAGGTGGTAACGGAGAAGTGGCACGTAGTTCGACATTACCTAGATTGAGGTCCCAGAGCTTGTGGAGCAATTGGGGAGCTCGAGGAGGTTTTGGGGAGGTTAGCTCACCAAGGCGTTAGGCATTGGGGAGCTTTAGTATTGTTCGGGGGAGCTCGGAGACTCACTCGGATTGCTTAGACGTGAAGTAAAAGTGTGTATTGGATCGTATAGACGATCATAGAGACAGTAGACAAGAGTAGAGAGAAATTGAGATAGAGAAACAGAGAGTAAGAGAAATCCGTATAGTTAGCAGGTACAAAGGGACAGGGACTGGACCTATGTAAAGGGTGTGTATTCAAAATATACCAAGTTGGGGCTTGGGGACGTTGCGGTGACACGCCTAAATTTTGGCTAGACGTCTATGCTGTGAATTGTGACATTTTCACGTATAGATTTGTATCGAGAGGACTGTAATTGAGACCCAGATTGACAGTCAAAGTCAATACTGAATCAGTCTAATAAGTTGAAGGGACCATATACCCATACTACCACAAGTTGGTTAGTTTACCCATCCCCGATACTACCTTCGGATAACAGTCTACCTGTTTGTCAAGCAGGATTATACCAGACTCGGACTACATCCGAAGGATGACCATTCACGTCTGCAATTTTTTTAATTCAGGATTCATATATGACATACCAAGGGTATTCTTATTGGACCTTACACTGGCAGGAGTTTGGAGGAACTTACTCAAGTGACCATGAGCCGAGGGTTGACTCGAAATGACTTTCTAGAACTCAGGAATTATCAAATACTCCTTCTAGAACGAGATCATGCATGAATCTAAAAGACTGCGATTTAGTCTAATAGACCAATCAAGTTGCATGGTTGAGGAAAATGACTAGAAGAACGATCAAAGTACTGCGAGGCTCCGAAGACATATCAAATGAATGTCAAAGAATCCTGACGTAGAAAATATTGAAGAATGCAATTAAATGAATACTATGCGTAACTCCCTTGATAGAGTATAGGCACAATGGGTGTCTATTGAAAGAGAGAAGCAATTAGTTCAATCCAGATGAATCAGATTGATAGGATTAGAATCGAGGAGAGCTGATTTGCCTCCGGACAAGGTGACAAATGATCAAAGTAAGTGTTGAACAGCAATGACAGTTGAACACCATTTGAGTCATTCTCCAAAAACAATTAAATTAAAATGAATAATGAAGTACCTACCTATGTTTGGAGGTATACTTGAATCTTGGAACCATTGTGGACCAAATAAGGGCATGAAGATTCAGATTAAATAGTATATGACCAATTGTAGAAGTTTCCTTGCGGTTCCGAACATTTATTGTATTAAATTAATTGTACTGTGCGACTCTATATTCTGTATGTATAAATAGCAATCCGATGTATCTGGAATACAAGTGATTTTGGGACGACGTTGCAGTGCTAATCCGTAAAAAGGAAAGACACACTCCCGCCAGACTGAAACCTCTTCGCTAGCAGCCATTCGGGCCCGGCACTTGTGAGTATAGGAACATCGTGTTCTGCTCCTTGTGACTGCAAGAAGTATATCCAGTTGTTGGGTATTCTTCAAACTTAGGATCAGTTGTTGGTCTTAAGGGCAAATCACGCTATGTGGTTGTGCCAGCACATAGTTCTAGCCCTCCGTAGGGGTCTGTGTGTTTCGGTTTTAATTTACTTTGATTCAAACCCTCAATTCTTGATATACCCATATCAATACAATCAAAGCACAAATCGTGCTGAATCTACCTTGATCAAAGGAATATATCGAATCCTTAGAACGATTCAAATTGATTGATCAAAGCTTCTTACTTAGCTCTCAAAGCTTTGCGGAACCTTTGCCAACGCTACCCCTCCTATTAAATAAATTTGATAGCAGTGAACTCGCATATTGTGTATTAGATTGGTTGGTTGGAGTGCTCATTAGATTCCTTCCTTTCTCTTTCACACAAAAACGAGGCAAGCTCGTTAGCGGAACTACTTAAATAGGTACAGGAAGTGAACAAGGGAACATCAGGGGATCTAGTGAACATGAGGCGGTAATCGAGACTGATACTTAATGGAGTTGCTGTAGGGGGTCCTGCATGCGTGCCGGGGAATGTATGTGTGTCGGGGAAGTCATCAGGTGCTTGGGTAATGGGAAGATGTCTTGGGGGTTTACGGAGCTAGATAAGACATATGGGAGCTTCTGGTTGGTGCTGGGACAGGTCTGGTGGCGGTCAGGGCATGACAGCGTGTTGTGAAGAACGTTTGGGTAGGTATATCAGGAGAATGGTGACGTTTGGGGAGGTGCATGGTGGTACTTGGGGAGGTGCAGAGGAGGTGCAGGAGGTGGATAGGATGTGTGACAACGTGTGGCGGGTACTGGGGCTGGTCTGGTTGTAGGCAGGGCATGACATCTGCACAAGTTTTAAGTTAATTTCCTTATAAATTAAGTGTTCATTGTACTAATTTGTAGAATATTCTCCAAAAATTGATTGATATTAACTATAACTGTATAGGATGCATCCATTTATGGGAGAAATTTTTTTGAAACAAATTTTTTTTTGATGTTTTGGAAATGGAGGTGTTTATATATCAAATGTCCCTATGGACACAACCTTTTCTTCACCAGGGGACAGATTGATTCAGTTGTTATGGACTTTGGCCCATTGATTCTTGTTTATATATCTGTACTATGTAGTTTGTCTGGTGTTGTTGTTGTTGTTGTTGTGTTCCAGTATACTCCATACATGCAATACCTTGCAATTGCGTAAATGGTGTTATTACTAAATACTGTACAGTACAAACTTACATCCTGCAGCTGGCAATTCAACCACCTCAGTTGCTTTACAGACAACTGAGGTGAGTCCTAGGATACCTACTACATAGACCAGCTAGCTGACTATCTATGTAGATCACATGCTAACAGGTACTTAGGACAATTCATAGTTGCTTTACAGACAACTGAGATCACACGCTAACAGATTATGAGACTGGGTTCTGATTAGAACAAAGGTTATTTGTGTGTTAAAAAGGAACTGAATACAGGAATCAGTATACAAGATCTCATTTGGAAACACCCCAAATATACTAAGACTCCCGGACAAGAAACAGCTCATTGGTGAGGAAAATTGGAGGCCATATAAGCAAGAAATACTATTTGCAGTGCACTTGAGAGGACTGACAGGATATATTGATGGCACAATACCCCAACCAAATAGTTACCCTGGACTAATATGCCCATCAGCACAGTCCACTACTCCCCTCTTTAGCCCAACACCATGCCTGGAAGAATGGAAGGCTTGCCACAACTATTGTGTAAGACCTAGGTCAGAGTTGGTCTTAAGGTTGAGTTTGGTGTGAGAAGTTTATGTTGTAGCATGCTAGGAGCAAGCTGGAGCTCGAAGGGAGCTACGGAAACCATGACCTAGTAGTAGTTTGAGATGTGAGATGGACCCTTGAAGGGGTTCCTAGAAGGTCCAGGGAGGTCCCTAGGACATTAACAGAGGGAGGTGGAAGTAACGGAAGCTAGTAGATGTAAGGGCATTGCATGGTATGGATTGTACTAGCTAAGGACGTCAACGTAGGATTGTTGTAGATCGTAGTTGATGTGGATTTTGAACGTGAGAGCTCCCAATGGAGTATAAGCCCGGGAAGGAGGTGTCATGAAGTACGTAGCCCCTATCATTTTCCTTTTCTCACCGTCTCGACGCCTTTACTTGTACGATATATCATCCCATCACTGTCAAATCCCATCAATTACTGATCCACCTGTTACCCTTCTCCTTCCACTGGCTTCCACCACCTTCCTTGTTCCTAAACTGTACAGTATTACATCGTCATTTCTCGCAGATCGGATCATGTATATAAAGCCACTCCATCACAGCCTGGTCCCTTATCTTGACCTCTCTAACATTATTTGGGACCAGGAATGTGCGCATTTATTATTACCTATGACTACAATACTCAATATATCTCTGTCATTATCTGGGACCAGTTTGCCTCTGTTGAATGAATATGGACCTTGAGCCAAAGCGGGTAATACGGGTCCGGTTTCAGTCCACCGTCGGTAACGAGCTTGCCTCGTTTTTTTGTGAAAGAGAAAGGAAGAAATCTTATGGGCACTCCAACCAACCAATCTAATACACAATATGCGAGTTCACTGCTATCAAATTTATTTAATAGGAGGGGTAGCGTTGGCAAAGGTTCCGCAAAGCTTTGAGAGCTAAGTAAGAAGCTTTGATCAATCAATTTGAATCGTTCTAAGGATTCGATATATTCCTTTGATCAAGGTAGATTCAGCACGATTTGTGCTTTGATTGTATTGATATGGGTATATCAAGAATTGAGGGTTTGAATCAAAGTAAATTAAAACCGAAACACACAGACCCCTACGGAGGGCTAGAACTATGTGCTGGCACAACCACATAGCGTGATTTGCCCTTAAGACCAACAACTGATCCTAAGTTTGAAGAATACCCAACAACTGGATATACTTCTCGCAGTCACAAGGAGCAGAACACGATGTTCCTATACTCACAAGTGCCGGGCCCGAATGGCTGCTAGCGAAGAGGTTTTAGTCTGGCGGGAGTGTGTCTTTCCTTTTTACGGATTAGCACTGCAACGTCGTCCCAAAATCACTTGTATTCCAGATACATCGGATTGCTATTTATACATACAGAATATAGAGTCGCACAGTACACTTAATTTAATACAATAAACATTCGGAACCGCAAGGAAACTTCTACAATTGGTCAGATACCAGTTAATTTGAATCTATATGTCCTTATTTGGTCCATAATGGTTCCAAGATTCTAGTATACCTCCAAACATAGGTAGGTACTTCGTTATTCATTTAATTTAATTGCTTTGGAGAATGACTCAAATGGTGTTCAGCTGTCACTGCTGTTCAACACTTACTTCGATCGTTTGTCACCTCGCCCGGAGGCAAATGAGCTCTCCTCAATTCTAATCCTATCAATCTGATTCATCTGGATTAAACTAATTGCTTCTCTCTTTCAATAGACACCCATTGTGCCTATACTCTATCAAGGGAGTTACGCATAGTATTCATTTAATTGCATTCTTCAATATTTTCTACGTCAGGATTCTTTGACATTCATTTGATATG